AGATGAGGGCTAAGGCTCAGAAAAGTAGCATCATTTTCCTGAGGTCACACAGCTAGAAAGAGACAGAGCTAGGACTTGAACCCCTACTCTCTAACTGTAGCACCCTCACTCTTCCCCCACTCCTCTAACTACACTCTCACATTTATTTCCTTTCCACTCAAGTATTTTTAATCTCTCTCTCTACCAGTTCCTCTCAACCTCATTTTATACAGTAACAAGCCTCCTTTGGGCTCCATAGTCCCCTTTGGCTGCTAACTAATTTTAATTTCATTACCTTTCTTACCCCATTCATTTCTTTCACAATGACAGGTTAAGAACATAGGTTTAAAGTCCAAAAGTCATAGGTTCAATTCCAAAAAGTCATAATAATGTAGGGAGGCATGAGAATTAAACTGTTAAATCAAGCTATATTCAGAGACTGCAATATGCTGATCAGCCCTGCAGCCAGGCCAGGAGGACACCTGCAGTAGAAAGGAAGACTGCTGCTGGGATTGCTAACAACCCATTCCCCATATCCTTGGAAGGGGAAACAGGAAAAACAGTCTTTAAGTGGCTGCCCTACACAAATAAAATTGTTCTTTCCCAATGGCTAAAACTATGGGGAACCTATAGATTAAAGGCTGGGAACTGCCAGCAGGCCTTTCGCACTACATATTCTTACCTTTTCACGCTAAATACTCTTCCCCTTCCCCTTCTTCCTCACTATACATCAATATCAGAGGAAATGGGTAAACAAAGTCTTTAAACTATAACTCACAAGAACTAAAGAATGATATATAAAACTGGACCCCCCTTCCCACTCAGGGCTTTTTCTCCTTGTCTTAGGTTTTTGTCTTTGCTTTCTCTAGCCTTTGCTTTTCCCCCTGTTTAATTAACTTTCCTTTTGTCCCTAACTTTGGCACATGTATTGAATTCTTTCTACACTCTCCACCAAAGGACTTGGGGAAATTTGCCCTGTTGTGCCTCAGTAGGTTCAAATTTCCAAAATCCTAACAGTCCCAGCCACTGCAATCAGACAAGAAAAAGAGATAAAAGGCGTCCAAATTGGAAAAGAAGAAGTAAACCATCGTTATTTGCAGATGACATTATACTAAATATAGAGAACCCTAAAATTCCACCAAAAAACTGTTAGAACTGATAAATGAATTCTGTGAAGTAGCAGGATACAAAATTAATATTCAGAAATTGGTTGCAATTCTATGCACCAATAACAAACTACCAGAAAGAGAAATTAAGAAAATAATCCCATTTACAACTGCATAAAAAAAAAAAAAAATACCTAGAAATAAATTACTTAGCTATAAAAAAGAATGAAATCTTGCCATCTGCAACAACATGGATAGACCTAAAGAGTATTATGCTAAGTGAAATAAGTCAGAGAAAGAAAATTCCATATGATTTCACTCATATGGAGAATCTAAGGAACAAAATAAACAAACAAACAAACAAACAGATTCATAGATACAGAGAGTAAACTGGTGACTGCCATATGGGACAGGGGTAGAGGGGCTGGGTGAAAAAGGTGACGAGATTAAGTACGAAATAGTCACAGAGATGTAAAATACAGCATAGGGAATACAGGCGATAATATTATAATAACTATGTATAGTGCCAGGCGGGCATTGGACTAATTGGTGGGATCACTTCATAAATAATATAATGTCTAACTACTATGCGGTACACTTGAAACTAGTATAAATATTGAATGTCAGCTCTAATTGAAAAATAAAATTTTTTGAAAAATCTCCCAACTCCTGGCTATATGACGGTAGACAAGTTAAAAAATTTCTCTCTAAACCTCAGTCTGCTCTTCTGTAAAATGGATGTAAGAATAATACTCTCTCATAGGATATTTTGAAATTTAAATAAGATAGTCCCAACACTACACCCAACACCAGGTAGGCAGGCTAGCATCAAGTGAGTAGGAGCCATCTTAGTGCAAAGAGGATGTCAGATCCTGGCACAGGCTCAAGTCTTGGCACAGGTGCTTGTAGTCCTGACCAACCTGTATAGGCCCACATTGGCAGTGTCTTGAGCTTTCTGCTGCAACAAATTTCTGTAGTTATTTTTCTGAACACAATATCAATGTTACACTATATGAACAAAAGTTCTTACCAAGATTGGAGAATCCATCCTGAAGGGCCCATAATCGAGCCCAAGGGGCAGGGACAGGCTCCTCAGGTTCTTGGTCCTCAGGAATAGAATACAGTTCCTGAGTAGACACTGTGTCTAAGGAGCTCAGTGTTCCCGAACTGGAGTGAGAGGACTGGCTGGATGTGGGCACTGTGCTAGTGGAGGAGCTGGATGTGCCCTGGGACTGTGAGGAGTCTTGTGTCTGTGAGGAGAGGCCATGGGACTGCAAGAAGCCGCCTTGGGACTGCGAGCTGGTGCTGCTGCCATGGGATTGTGAGGACGCACTGCCATGGGACTGCTGACATTCCACATCCGTCTCCCGAGACATTACGACCTCAAAAACAAGTGTCCAACAATAAAGTGAGTTTCAAAGAACAAGACTTAAAGTTCAAGAGTAAAAGATGTTCAAATTGCGATGATGATTTAAAAAAAAACCTAGGGCAAGCATGCTCTGCAAAAATTAAAATTCTAACAGTCTAGACCTATACCTGGGCTAAACTTTTCATCAGATCACTTTCACTAGATCAGTTTTTTCTCTGATAGTCACAAACCACAGGGAAAAGAAACAAACAAAAGAAATTATTTGAGGGCTATAAATAAGTAAAAAGCAATGAAAATGAGTTGGGGATGAGGAAGAGACTCATAACTGCTTACACTCATCCAATTCTTAAAAATTAAAAGTGAAACCTAAAATGTATTCATCAATACAATTAATGTAGGGAGGAAGCAAGAGAATTAAAATGCTAAATCAAGCTATATTCAGAGGTTGCAATATGCTGATCAGCTTTACAGTCAGGCCAAGAGGACACTTGCAGTACAAAGAAAGATTTCTACTTGGGATTGCTAAAAACCCATTTCCCCACACTCTGAAGGGGAAACAGGAAAGAGTCTTTAAGTGGCTGCCCTACTCACACAAAAATAATCATTCATTCCCTATGGCAAAAACCATAGGGAACCTATGGATTAAAGGCTGGGAACTGCCAGCAGCAGTCCTTTCGGCCTAAATACTCTTCCCCTTTCCCTTCACTGTATGCCCATATCAAAGGAAATGGGTAAACAAAGTCTTTTAAACTATAACTCACAGGAACTAAAGAATGATATATAAACTGGATCCTTGGATGCTCAGAGCCTTTTTTCCTTGTCTTGGGTTTTTGTTTTTGCTTTCTCTAGTCTTTGCTTTTCTCCTTCTTTAATAAACTTCTTTTGACCCTAACTTTGGCGTGTGTGTTGAATTCTTTCTACACTCTCTGCCAAAGAATCCTCTTCTCAGTGCAGGGCATAGTCGCCCCCCACACTCAGGGTAATTTGCCCTGTCCTGCTTCATAATCAACACTAAATTTCATGTTTCGGAAAGAGAAAAAAGGGAGAGTCTGGTGGCTTGGGGTAGAAGACAGGAAAAGAACTTATTTGCTGCACCACTCCAGGGAGGCCATTTGCACAAATGGTCACTGATGCCCCTCCTCCCCCAAACCAGCTCCAGGAGATTCCTTGACTCCTAAGGGCTGGGCTACTTAATGAGGCAGAACACAAAGAGGATTGCACTAAACAACTCCACCTAGCCCTTTGTGATGCTGAGTAACTATGGGCTTATCACTTATCTTTTCAGCATCCTAAATGGCCTTCCAGCCATTCAGAATCTTGCAGAAAACATTCTTTGAGCCACAAGAGACCATAACAGCGGCTTCCACCCTTGCTTTAGAATTAACCTGATGGACAGTTAAAAATTATAGAACCTACAGTAAACAAGACTTCGTCCTGAAAACTGGTAAAAGACAGTGCGTAAAGCAGTGGCTATCATCGCTTATGATAAATAAGGGTCCACTAGGCGAGACCGCACTGGCCTCAGCCCTGAGGAGAAAGTACAGTGGAGTGGTTACAGGCAAATAGGTCTGGAGTCAGATACCCGAGTCAAATCTTTGCATGAACCGTTAGGTAAATCACAATCTCTTGGAGCCTTATATAAAAACGTAGAAGGCTCTAGCGGGTTAAAGCGATGATGCATGAACGCTCCTCCGCTAGTAATGCTTGATCATTGCGAGAACAGAATTCCAGTCCCAAAGAATCTGATAACCGGAAAAGACCTTACAAGTGCAACATAATTTTTTTTTCAAATAGAGAAACTGAATCGCAAGGAAGACTGGTGTCCTCCTACCCTCTCCTCGCCACCCCATTCCACACTTACTTATGGCCACTTGCAAGGCATCCTCCTACACAGGTCAGTATGTTTCCAGTCCTTGCAATGCCTAGCCGCTAAGAGTGGGTTCTCAATAGGTATTTTTGAGATTGAACCTAAAGTATGGTAATAATTACTAACATTGATAGAACTCTTTACAAAGCAACTTTGCTCTGATCTTGAAAAGCACAATTTGTTTCTTATCCTGTACATCTGGGCCAGTTTCAGCTTGTAAGTTAACTGGGGAAGTGAACTTCACCTGGAAGTTCATCTGCAAAGAAGGAAGAGAGTCGCCCACGAATTCCTCTCCTATCTCCTACCCCGCAACCCAAGCTCAAAAAGACAAAGCGGAAGCTCCAGCTCGCATTAACTCCCTGAGGACGGGAATCGAAGCCAAAACACCCAATTGAAGTTTCCCACTATGACTCACCGCGTGAGCCCACCTGGAGCCGCACATTCACAGTAGCCGCAGCCAGCAGTGGCGCTAAACAGATCCAAACTCCACCTCAGCCAATCAATGAGGACCAGCCGGACCAATGAGGACCAGCAGTGTGGCCGTCCACGCGTAGCCTCACTGCTGGCTGGGAGTTGTAGTTTAAAATGCACGGCGGGACTCAGAATTCAGGTTCCCCCCCTGCGCCCCGAGTGGCCCCACCCCCTCAGCTCTCCAGCCAATCAGCAGCACTTCTCTGGCCGGCCGCTCGCTCTTTCCTCCACAGGTGACCGCGGCGACGATAGGCCGTGGGCCAGAAATGTGGGGTGGGAGGACTCGGGCCTTGTCCCGCCTGTGGGGGTTGTGGCCAGCAGGGGTCCTCGGAAGGAGACCACTAAGCTGCAATGCTGCATCACTGGAGGGAAGCAACTCCGCCCACTGCTGGAACTGCGGTGGCCCAGGGGGTCCTCTTCCTGGAGACGGGTTCTTCTGCCCGCAGTGCCGTGCTCTACAGCCACCTGACCCCACTCGAGACCACTTCAGCCTTATGGACTGGTACCGTAGGCGGTTTTGGGAAAGCACTGGGACGAGATAGATGTCAGGGACCGGTGTGCGAGTAGGGAGGGCCGATCAGGCTTGGGCAGGAAAAGGAGGGGCCAGTTACACAGGTAGGCGGAGCCTTCGAGACTAGGGACTGGGTATTGGGCCTGGGAGAATGGAGGATGGGCTGTGTCGCGAGAAAGAGGAAATTGAGGGGCGGGCCTAAGAGAAGGTCTTTGAGGGATGGAGACAGTGGAGAGAGGACTGGAGGAAGGTCGAGGAATGAAGTTAGGGCAAATTGAGGGATGGAGACAACGGAGGAGGGAGACTTGAGGGGCGGGGGTTGAGGTAAGGGTACTTAAAAGGCCCTGGAGAAGGGAGACTTGAGGGTTAGGATGAGAATGATGAAAGTTGGATAAAGAATTTTAAGAAAGGAGTACTGAGAGGTTATCCAACATAAGGGAGTAAAAGCATAGAAAAACTTAATATTGTGAGCATAGTCTAAGGGTAAAGTGAGAATGAGAAATGAATGTTTTTCCTGTTTTCCTCTGACAGTTGAGGAGCTTGGAGAGATGGTGAAGTTTGGGCAGAGCTAAACTGATGAGATAGGGCACGCTCTGGGAATAGAAAGCCAAAAGGATTGGATTAAAATAAAGTGGGAGACAGAGATGAAGGGACTAAGGCCTTGTAAAGATAGGATGGGATTTAGGTATGCTCCTTCCCTTTAACTCTGGGCTCTGCCCCTACCAGTCACTGAACACTTATGGCGGGTTGCAGTAACACTACCCTTAAGGGTGCCAAATTCATTCCCACCTCAGGGCCTTAGCATGTTCTTTCTGTCTGGATGACCCTTCTGATCTTTGATTACACCTCATCATTGTTTCAAGTGTCAGCTCAAATGCTACCTCTTTGTCCACCAATCTACTACTCTCTCTGACTTGTTTTCCTTCACAGCACCTACCACTTTTGGAAATTATCTCTGTGTGCATGTTTATTGCATATTTCCCCATGGGAACAGGAACCAGGCCCATAGTTTACAAATCTATAAATATTGGATGAATGAATTTCATCTCCTGATTTCCTTCTAGCAACCGTTCCTTCAGAGTTGACACTGTGAAGCTCCAGCATAGGTACCAACAACTACAGCGTCTTGTCCACCCAGATTTCTTCAGCCAGAGGTCTCAGGTAGCCTATTGGCCACTTCTAATCATACCGAAACACGTGTGCATTCTGGGTGGGTGGCAGTAGCCTTGTGGTTATATGTTTATCAGGGACAGCCAGCTCCACGTGGCAGCCAGACTCCAGCCAGCCAGGCCCTGGACCTGTCCTGCAGAATTAGAACCCATCAGTTGAAAATAAATACAGCTTATTCCGCACCGATTCCACTTTGGCCACTTCCTTAAGTGGCTGCCCAGCAATATTTTATGAAACAGTTTGTGAATATAAGATGGTTGATTTGGATGGTAATAAGATTATCTTCATATCCACTAACAGACTGAAAGGGACTTTTCAGAGAAGCATTCAACCCTGGTGAATGATGCCTATAAGACCCTTCTGGCCCCCCTGAGCAGAGGACTATACCTTGTAAGGTGATTTTCCAGCCCTTCTATGCATGACTGCCTGGTGTCCATTGCACTATGGGACAGTTGCTCCCCTATATTCAGCAGAGGAGTGCTCGAAACCTGAGCAAGTCCAGGAACCAAACAATATGTAGCCTCAAAGATACTACATGAATATAGTTTTCTCTGAATATTCTCTGTAAATCTCAATTGCTCAGTTGCATTTTTTAAAATCATTTTTTATAAATTTCAAGAATTGGATGGTGATGATTTTTAGTGAAGAAGTAATTTCAGGGGGTTTTGGGGAGTGTGGAATGGAGGAGGTGAGCACCTTAGAATTTTAGGATTTAATAGAATCTTTACAGATATCTAGTTCAAACTCTCAAGTAAAGGAATGACTCCCCCAGGGTCACACAGTTCTAAGGAGCAGAAAGGGATCCTTTCCAAGGTTCTAGCATCCTACCCTCACACTTTCATTATTAGGACAATTCATGTTTTCCCTATGATATTCTGTAAGGAAGGGTGAGTAGGATTTATGACTCTGGCCATAGTTTCTTGAAGCAAACTTATTCTCCTTGCTTTACACCCCAATAGCTAAAGCTCCATGGCATAGAGATTCCAGAAGGAACAGATTATGAAATGGACAGGCAATTCCTCATGGAAATAATGGATATTAACGAAAAACTTGCAGAAGCTCAAAGTGAAGCTGCCATGAAAGAGATCGAATCTATTGTCAGAGGTAAAAAATAAAATACCACCAAATGCATTTTATGAGTACTAGTCTGGGGTTAGGTGAAAAATGAATATAAAGAATACATACTGGCCATCATAGTGATTCAGGGAGTTTTTTTTTTTTTTTTTATACTAAAACCAGTTTTGTCTGGAAGTTAGACATCCCTATAGCTCTGGAATGCAGCCTTAAACCAAGAAGTGTTGTCTTCATATCATGAGTCAATTTAAATAGAAAAATTAAGATAATGCTTTTCTCTTTCAGCTAAACAGAAAGAATTAACAGACAATGTGAGCAGAGCTTTTGAACAAGGTATTTTCTTCATTTCTTGATTTTCTTAAATATGGAAAGAAATTGTAAGCACTGAGGTATAAACCATGCATTCAACAAGTAGCTATTATATACCCATCTTGTGATGATAAGTACATGGGGAGTACCTAAAGAGGAGTCTACATTTTTGCCTTCGAGAATTAAGTCTTGCTGGAGAAACAAGCTGTGCTCCAAAAACAGTGATATGCCATTAAAAGATTTGACAAGAGAAAGTGCTTTCATTCTCCTTAAACAAGTAGGAGAAGATAAGGTGAGGGATGTGGGCCAATGCCAACACAGGTTGATCCTAAGGGCAAGGCTGCACCCTCAACATTTGGCAGAGCCTGCACACCCATTTTTCTGCAAAGCCCAGGAGGAGAAGCCCATGGCAGAGCTGTACCCGAATTACAAACATGGACTGTTCATCCTTGTCTCCACTGCTCCTGGCTCTTAGGTTGAAGAAACTATATCTGTTTCTAGCTGTTTTTAAGCAAGTACAGCCTTTCTATCCATTTCTGACTTGTGCCACCCCTTAACTAAGAGAATTTAGGCTTTTCAAGATAAAGGGAGGTTATTGTAAGGAATCACAGCTATCTCCCAGAATCTAAAGAGAAAGTCCCTGCAATGATTTTAGTACAGTGTGATCAGAACTTTTCAGGCACAGAACCTTGGGACCAGAAAGCAGTCTGGAACCAAGACTGAGTGCCTCTAGCAGTCCACTCCATCCTCCTTTCTTCTCTAAAAGCAACTTCTATCTGCTTTCTTATTAGTATATGGTGCCCCAAAGTGGACTCTCCCTCTGGATGACTCCTTAGTCCACCTGCTCCATTTCCTTATGAAAACAAGGCCTTTCACCATCTGACTAGAACCCTAGACCCAACTCTAGATTTCTGGGAGAGGGAATCTGGCCCAGCTTTGGCCAGATGTCCACTCCAGTACAATCAGCTAGGGCTGAGGGGATAGGCTTACACAGTGTGCTACGTAATTTGCAGGGACTGTAGGAGTCAATTCTGAGAAGCACACAAAGGTAATATCTTTTAAAAGATGGGAAATTAATAAATAAATAAGAAAGATGAGAAATATATAGGTTAACAGCAGAAAATGCAGGAATCTAGCCCTACATATCTGCCTGAAATCCATGTCCTCAACCCACTGGCTAAGATGGTCCTGTTGTACCTTTGTATACTTTTGTATTTTAATTATAAAATATAATTTTAGAAAAGAATAAATAATGCATAAGTACAATTTAGAGAATAATAACAGAGGTGGCTCCATAGTGTAGTGGTTAGCATGTCTGCTTTACACGCAGAAGGTCCTGGCTTCGCGCCCCAGGTGGAGCCACGGACTATATCCCAGGTGCGCCGAGTGCCCTGGGGGTGCCAGGCCCTGGGTGCATGTCGTGAGCATGTGGGAAGAGACGCCGCCTTCAGAGATCCATTTCTTAAGGGGAGACGGCAACATCTGTAGGTCAGGGGTGGAAGTGGGGGTGGGAGGAATTAAAGATGGAGAAAGGAAGGAAGGCAGGAAGGAGGGAGGGATAGAAGAAAGGAAGGATAACAGAACAAACACCCATGTCCCCACCACCCAACTTAAGAAATAGAACATGCAAAGAAGATATACAAATGACCAATAAGCACATAAAAAGATACTCAGCATCACTAATCATGAGGGAAGTGAAAATCAAAACCACAATGAGATACCACCTCATACCCATTTGGATGGCTATAATCAAAAACATTAAAAATAACAAGTGTTGGTGAGGATGTGGAGAAGTTAGAACCACAGGATGGTGTTTCCTCAGAAAGTTAAAAATAGAATTACCATACAACCCAGCAATTCCACTTCTGGGTATATACCTAAAAAATTGACAGCAGGGACTCGAAGAGATGTTTGTGCACTGTCAAAGATAAATAAAACCACATACTAGTTAAAATGGTAAGGACAAATTTGAATCAGTAATAACTATTGCAATAGAGAAAAGAGTCCAACAAACTAAGCTCAACTTCAATTTGTGGCTGGGCATTTTAAAGGGAGAATGAAGCAAGAAGGAGGGGGTGCACAGGAGCTCAGTAGAGTCAGGGAAGTGAAAAATTCTCAAAGTGGGAAGGTGCGAGGGTAGTCCATGTGAAACCCATTGGGGTTTGCCAACTGGCACTTACTGAAGTTAGGCTCCTACCCTCCCACAGAGCCTGGAAGACAGAGGCTCTATCTCTGGGTATTGGCTGTAATAAATAGTACATTCTTTGGGCAGCCTCGAATTTTCTCAGGCAGGCATTTTAAGGCGGGGCTAGGATCATCCTAGAGATGTGGCCTCGAGCTGTTAGAAACTATTTTATGTTTGTTTAAGTCAAGGCTGAGGTCTAAGTCAAGGCTGAGGCCTAGTCGAGAAGAGGGCTCAGAGGAGCCTGGCTGGAGTTTGGTCAAGGAGAGAATTTTTGTCAACATCCACATTCATAAGATTTTTCACAATAGCTTACAGGTGGAAGCAACCCAAGCATCCATCAATTGTTGAATGGATAAACAATATATGGCATATATATACAATTGAATATTATTCTGGCTTAAAAGGGAAGGAAATTCTGTTACATGCTACAACATGGATAAACTTTGGGGACATTATGCTAAGTAAAATAAGCTAGTCACAAAAAGATAAATGCTGTATGATTTCACTTACATAGTCAAATTCATAAAGATGGAAAGTGTAATGGTGGTTGCCAGGGGCTGCAGGGAATGGGGAATAGGCAATTATTGTTTCCTAGGTACAGAGTTTCAGTTTTAGAAGATGAAAAGAGTTCTGTGGATAAATGGAGTTGATGGTTGCACAACAATGTTAATGTACTTACTGCCACGGAACTCTACACTTAAAAATGATTACAATGGTAAATTTTATGTTAACGTGTATCGCCACAATTCAAAGAATTTTTATTAATACCAAAACTAAATAAAATAAATAAATGTAGAACATAACCACTGTCTTCCAAGCCCACAGTAGGCCCTTTACAATTGCATCTCCCTTGTACAGTAACCATTCCGAATTTTGTGTTAATCATTTTTTGCTTTTCTGGATAGTTTTAAACATATATGAAAATAAAAGTATATTATTTAGTTTTGCATATATCTAAGTCAGGGTTTCCCATCCTTAGCATTACCAACATTTTGGGCCAGATAATTTTTTGATGCAGGGGGCTATCCTGTACACTGTAGGATGTTTAGCAACACTCCTGGCATGTACCCACTAGATGTCAGTATCACCTTCCCAGTTGGGAAAACCAGAAATGTCTCCAGACACTGCCAGATGTCTCAGTGGGCGTAAAATCACCCCCAGTCAAGAACCACTGGTTTAAGGGCTTCATTCTCAGAGACTGAGTCTGTACGACAGCAGCTGGCAGAGAGGCTTCCACATTCCCCTCAGGGTTAGACCACCATGTATAATATAGGAATACTCTTAAAACACATCCATTTATTACTTGGGGACTGTCCTGGAAAAAAGCAGCTAGTGTAAAGTCCGAATCCTGTAAATAAGCATGCATTTACCCCCTTTTGATTAGTCCCTTTGTCTTGTTAACAATCCAGATGTTCTCCCTCTCTCTGTCACTCAGATTTACTGAATGCTTGATCAGCTGTCCAGAGGCTAGGGCTCAACTTTAATCCAGCTGCTTCAGTCAATAGAGTTAGTTTTATTCTTGCTTAAAATGAAGCCTCACATTAATGTCTCTTTATTTCAGATGATTTTGAAAAAGCCAAAGAAATTTTAACAAAGATGAAATACTTTTCAAATGTAGAAGAAAAGATCAAGTTAAAGAAGATTCCCCTCTAATTGTCGCTAATTTTAAAGTGTAAAAAGTAAAGTTCTTGAATATTTCTTTTCTGGTTTCTGCTAATTAAGACTAGATATGTGTTAACTGTTTATATCTTCTGAATTAAACCTGTGGCTCAAGCATTAATGAGTGCCAAAGTTTGTCTTGCCAGCAGAAACAGCCTAGCCAGAGTTTGGTCAATTTTTCATGTGTTGCTTGATACACTGTGCCCCCAGCTAGGCCAGTGGATGATGAGGTGGGGATGGGGCCAACTTGAGCCCCTAAAGGAGAAGTTTGACAAAATCTTTTCTGCAAAGGGCCAGGTAGTAAATATTTTAGGCTTTATTGCCTGTTATAACTATGCAACTTGCCATGTATGGTAGCACTTTATTTACAAAATAGGCAATGGGCTAGATTTGGCCATAGTTTGCCAACCTCTGCCCTTGAACATGGCCAAATCTTTCTAATGGCATGACCTTCACTGATAGATAGTCTCCTTGTTAGCATGGCCTTCAGAGCATTCTGTTTGGTAACCATGCAAAGCTGCCTAAGGATCTCTTTGGTCTACATTTCAAGATGTAGAAATATTATCAAGAATTAGTCTGGTATTAAACACTAACCACATTTTCAGTTCCACACTGGTGGGTCAGAGCAGTTTTAACTTTTCTGGACAATTGACACCTTCTTGTCATGACTTCCATGCTCCTCTAACCCAGCCTGAAGCAGCTTCCACTTCCCCTTTGGATCTTTGAAAATTCAGTTTTAGTTCTTGATACATTTCTGGGGGGTGGGGGAAGTTTTTTTTAAAATCTCTGGATCAAAGATTAAAATAGAAAATTCTGATTAAAAAATTCCAAGAAACAACATTCAAACTCATAGAATTTCATGTTTATCATTGAAAAATTAAAAGTTCTGAGCCAAGATTTACATACTACCAGAGCTTAAAACTACAGCTCCTTTGCATCCTCTCTCTTCCTTTTCTAAGAATTTATATCTTGTGAATTCTGATTCAGTTTTTCTCAGTTAACATTTGAAGATTTATGGATCCTCTGAATGCAAATTAACCACAGCAGCTGTGTAGCTTAATGGTACTTGGGAATATCAATACAATCTCCAACTCACAAGATTTACAAGAAGGAGTTACTTGTCTGAAAACACACATGGAGTCTTTTAAGTAAATAATTACAGTGCAAGCAAATGTCCTGATTAAATTGAATGCTTCTGCAAAGAAGGAGGAGATGAAAGGAGTGTTTGATATACTTCCATAGATGGTCTTTTTTTCCTTCTTCAGAACAATGATCAGGACCAAACAATGTGACCGCAAAAAGAAATCAGATAAATGTTGCCTCAAATGATACTTTTGGAGGAACTTCAAAGAAACTTCTTTCCCTTACCTGTTGCCATCAGTTGTAAAGGCCACTGGGCCTCCCAGCAAACCATTTCTGACTTGGAGAATACATTTTTAAAAACTTTATTTCTGAGTCATGGCTTCTGAGTCAGTGGGATTACTTTTTTTTTTTTTTTCTTCTCCTCCAAATTCCTTCCCTTTTAGTCTAAACTCCAAGTTTAGCTGGACTTCTAAAGCCAGGAACACTTTCAAGTATTCCCTGACAAAGCCCTACGGGAAACATGCTTCTAAATGTCTGAAAGGTTAGCAGCCCTATTTGGATTAAAGTTTCTGAAGGAGTGAAGCAAATGAAGCACCCACCTCCCAAGCCCACATTGCTCCTAATATGGTGTCAGAATAAATCAGAGGTCTTGAGTAATTTGTGATTCTGCTCTGGTGTCAGACAAAGCCTGGTGTTAAGGACTGAACATTTCCCCCAAAAATTAATATATTGAAGCCATATATTTTGAGATGGTGCCTTGAGGAAAGTAATTAAAGTTAAATGAGATCCTAAAGGTGGGGCCCTGATAAGCAAGGATTAATGTCCTTAAAAGATACCAGAGAGCTCCCTCGCTCACTCTTCTACATTCTTACACTGGGGAAAGGCCCTGTGAAAAAGCTAGGGAGAAGATGGCTCTCTACAAGCCAGAAATAGACACCTTCACAGAAACTGAAACGGACCATGCTGGTACCTTGATCTTGGACTTCCAGCCTCCAGATGATGAGAAAATTAATTTCTGCTGTTTAAGCCACCCAATCTATGGTATTTTGTTATGGCAGCCTGAGCTGACTGATATACCTGGGTTTCCTTCCCCAGTTCTGCCACTTATTTGCTGTTAGTCCATCAATGTGCTAAGCTTCATTTCCTCTTCTTTAAAATGGTGATGATAATAGTACCTACCACACAGGGTTATTGTGAAGATTAAATTAAATAAGTTATCTATGCAAATTGTTTAGCACAATGCCTAACACATAATAAGTACTCGAATGTGATTTTTAAAATGATAATAACTACTTTCATTATTTTCACTTTGTTAGGTATGATAATAACATTGTGGTAATTTTTTTGAAAAAGTATATATTAGATAAACACTAAAGCATTAACAAATAAAATATGATTCTGGGATTTGCTTAAAACAATCATGAAAAACATGATTATGCCCTAGCATTTCCTGTTTACATATTATATCCCTCTTTTTGCCCTCACAGGCACACATTTTTCATACCAATAGTCATAATGTACCAATACTTTTATGATCTGAAAACAAATGCTGCTTCTGAGAAGGTGATCAGCTATTTGGAATTTCATTAGCAACATCTGAACATGCAGGTTTCACTCTGCCCTTGACAACAGTGGGTATTGCCATTTTTTAGCATGAGCATTATTAGTTCCTCAGGGATTGTGATGGTTAATTTTATGTGTCAACTTGACTAGGCTAATGGTTGCCCAGATAGCTGGTAAAACATTATTTCTGGATGTGTCTGTGAGGATGCTTCTGGAAGAGGTTATTATTTGAATTGGGAAACTGAGTAAAACAGATGGCCCTGTGATGTAGGTGGGTATTACCCAATCTGTTGAGGACCCAGATAGAACAAAAAGGTGGAGGAAGGGTGAACTGGCTCTCTCTCTGCTTGAGCTGAGACATCCATCTTCTGCTCCTAGTTCTCAGGCTTTGAGACTCTAATAGGGACATACACCATCAGCCCCCTGATTCGAAGGCCTACATTACATTATTGGCTTTCTTGCTTCCTAGTTTGCAGATGGCAAATGCTAAGATTTCTTGGCCTTCATAACCATGTGAGTCAATTCCTAATATATATATATATACATATATATATATATATGGAACCAATTGGAGATATATATATATCTCTCCAATAACCAATTGGAGATATATATATATCTCTCCAATTGGTTCCATTTCGCTGGAGAACTCTGACTAATACAGGGATCTTCCTTTGAATATGCATTTCATGGATGCTCAGAAGGAAAGAATGTTTCTATTTGTAGAAAGCAATAATGATATTCCTGGCTTTGGAATAAGTCAGATCTTTCCAGAACCATCATTTTTAACTGACTTTGAGACAAGTCCTTCACCTCTCTGAATCGTAGTCTCTTATACTGTAAAGTGGTGATATTAACACTAGTAGAGAGTTACGGTGGAACTGTCATGAAATAGTACACTTAGTACAGTGCCTGGTACATAGTGAGTGCTCAAAACATGCTTGCTGCTGGTCTTGATTGCTTTTGGCCTCTTGTTTTTAACCTCATGTCTTAGTCTATTTGGACTGCTATAACAAATATGATAGACTGGGTGGTATAAACAACAGAAATTATATCTCACAGTTCTAGAGGCTAGAAAATCTGAGATCTAGGCACCAGCAGATTCAGTGTCTAGCGACAGCCCATTTTCTAGTTCATAGAGGGCCATCTTTTAGCTGTGTTGTCACATGGTGGACGAGGCAAGGGAGCTCTTTGGGGTCTCTTTTATAAGGGAATGAAGCCCATTCATGAGGGCTCTACCCTCATGACCTAATCACTTACCAGAGGCTACACCTTCTAATTGAGGATTAGAATTTTCATATATGAATTTGGAGTGGGGGGGACATAAACATTCAGTCCATTATACCTTGTCATATTAGACATGTTTATCTAAAAAACACTTATTCTTTATCTGACTACAAAGTAGTACATATTCACGAGAAAAAAATAAAAGCTTAAAATTTATCCCCAGAAAGTGCAAGTTCTGATAATCTCACCTCTTATGGGTCATTGCCGTCAACAGTTTGGTTTGGTGTCTTTCTTTCAGAGGGAATGAAGTCTAATAATGTTGCATTAATATCCTAACAAGGTTGTTGCTTGCTAAACTCTATTAACTAATGACTATTAATTATGTAGACACATTACTTATTCTCTCTAAGCCTTAGTTTTAACATTTTTATGTAGAGACATGAGTACTTGTGGTCCGGTTGTGAGAGTAAAATGAGAAAATGCAGAGCTCTTATGTGTATATTATATACTAGCACACAGGCATGTGTGTATGCACACATACAAATAAAAAAGACTGGAAGAATATTCACGACAATGGCATTTCCTGCAGGATGGCATTAAGGCGATTTTTATTTGCTTCTCCATACTTTTGTCACCACCTTCACTAATTTTCTACTAAGAACTTCTGTTCATTTTATAACCAGAAAACATGTTTTTAAAAAAGATAATATGAGATTAGTCACCAGGAGAAAGGAGTCAGGAAGGGATTATCAGAGTATCTGTATGTCTCTGACATGCCAATCCTATGATAGGTAAGCTGGAAGGAACTCAAAGAGGCAGCCCTGGAATGTCACTGAGAAGAAGAGATGCTCTCAGTGGCCGCTGTCAAGTTCTGTTGCAGCTCTCCCCAGACTAGTATAGGAGAAGGTACACAGTAATCCTGTCTTTTGCTTCCAGGAGTCTGAAACCTGAAGGAGTATCTCTCAGACATACTATAGTGAAATTGTCTCTGATTCCCCTATACCACTTTCTTCCAGAGAATTCAGTGAGATGGAACAAAGCCTTGCAGTCTAGAACAGGATCTAAAGTCTCATACGTGGAGTTGAACTCCTTCACTTACAGCTGAGGAAACTGGAGACCATAAGTTGCCTCAGTTTTCTTATCTCTAAAGTGGGGGCAATAAAAGCATCCAATTTAGAGTTACTGTGAGGAATACTTCATTTAATCTGGGTAATGTACTTGGCAAACAGGCAGTATCTAAAAAATGATTAATTCTAGTACATTGCCTGATAAAGGTATGCAACCTGGTATAGAATTGTGAATCAAAGAATGAAAGAATGAATCTGGGCATTCAAGAAATATAATTCAAGAAATATAATTAGGTAGGAAAAAAGTTGCAGAATAACATATAGAGTAGGACTCCCTTTTTATAAATATATCTTTATATTTATATGTGTATATCACATCATCGGAAAGGATTTCTTTTTTTCAGGTGAAGAATGAGGTGGCCATTTGTAGAAATGACCCAGAATGTTATATTTTATATCCAGTTGCAGTAAGTAGGGTGTTACATTAGGGAGGCAAAACTAGATTGTAAATGGCACTAAGAAAACTTCAGCCTAATCCATTATATTTCATTAGGAAAAACATATTAGTCTGTTTTTTCCTAGACCTAAGTGAGGGCAATGGAAATGGAGAAAGATGAAGAGAATCTAGAAGCATTTCACAAATAAAGCCCATAGGAGTTGCGAACTGGTTAAGTACAGGAGTGAACACAAAAGAGGCATCAATGATGTCTAGGTTTTGCTTAGAAAGAGAAGAGCATCTTCTGACAGTTGAAACTAGCCTGGTACTATCAGGTTGGACTTGGTTTCTGTATGTTAAACAATTTCCCAAAATGTCAATATCAAATAAGGATAGAGATGTGACTTCAATGATTCAAGATAAAAACAAGACTACTTCCAAAAAAGCCCAAAAAACAAAAAAACAAGACTACTCCCTAATCATGTCTGAACACAGAAAAAACTGAACATTGTTCAAACCACAAAAACGACCAAACATCCCTCTATCTTAGCTAATATGAAAGACTGTTGCTTCCTTACCAATTATAGATTTAGGTTCCCTTCATTCCTTCCACCTTCTAGAAAAGATTGACTAAGATACTCAATCATAGAATTATTCCTGGTTCCCGACAGTATTAATTCTAGAGCAAAGCTCTGCCTCTTTGAAACATCCCCAAAATCACCCAAGACAGCCCAAATGATACAAAAAGCTTTTTCAAATACCCCTGAAGACACTCCCTCACTACGAGGAGTCAATAAAGACTTTCTGTGTTCAATTATAGATGTGTTCTTAGTGGTCTTTGGCTGAAGGGCATTGATATTGGCACAAGCAACTCAGACTGGATGATGGTGCAAGTCTTCGAGATGGGAAAAATGGAAAATGAGGCCTTATCATTGGTTGGGGTCCACTAACTCTGCTAGCCTTTCTGGCAAGCCTATGTCTGTGGATACCTCAAGTAGAAGCTGCAAGGCTTCTCACAAGCGCTTTGAGGTATTTCCTGATGTTCCATGCTGTTCTCCCTAAGGCATCACCAATTTCATTTATATTAAAACATAGAAGGAATTAATAGCTGATATTTAAATAATCTGCATTATGTTCCAAGCAGTGTTCTAAGGGTTCGAGATATTTAATTCATTTACTTCGCCCATCAACCCCAGAGGATAGGTACTATTATGATCAGGTTTTACTACCGCGAAAAATGACATACACCTTGATGAGCGAGGATTCGAACCTCGGTCACATTTAACGCCCAGCAGAGCCATCCTCAAGCATTAGCTAAGACGAGGCAGGCATCTTGTTTGTAGTCTGCAAGGACTGCAACGCCCGGCATTCCGTTCGGCAGCGGCTCTCCACACACAACAAATCCCGGCGTGCCTCCTGGCGGCCCGGCGTGGAGGGTTCTAGAAGGCGTGACGTGGGGTCAAGAGCGGGCTCAGAGGCGGGTGCCTCTCGGCAGTTGCTGTGGCTGCAGCAGCCGGGCCTCGGGACACCGGCGACTGGGGCCGCCGGCGCAGCCTCTTCGTCTCCCCAGCCATGGCCGCGCTCGGCCGTCCCTTCAGCGGCCTCC